CTATAGAAGACATTAGCTTTTTGCTTTTAGTTGAAATGTTTGGTCTTGGAACTTGCACCAGCTGAGAACAGTAATTACAAGCAAATTCATCTCAGCCCTGGCTTACAGCATACTTTATAAGATGAATTATTCAGAGAACTTAGCTGTGAAAAAAATATAAGAAGTCTCCTGTAAGTATTTACAAACTGCATTTTTTTTCCCCCCTAAAAGCCATGTATCTTAGCCAAATCCGAATGGATTTTCACAGGACAGAACACTTGCTTGCCAAACCTTATGTCTTTACTTCAAAGCATAGGGGTATTAGAGCTGTTAAAAAAAAAAAAAAGGGCACAAAATAATACATTTTTTTTCCACAGCCCCTGTCTGCAAGCCCATTGAACTGTTTTAGTTGTAATTTTATATATAAAAATTAATCAGAGGCAGACACTGCCATGGAAAATTTCAGCTTAAAGAGTTAAAGTCTGGCAAAGCTTTATGCAACTAAGATCACATTCCTGAAAAACGTCAGTCAGCTTTAATAATCAGTTGTGCTACCAGCCTGTCTAGTACACGTGCATTACATACAGTCTCATAAAACTAATTTCTGACATGTTTCCATTCTTCTCCATTGTTATATTAATATAGTTAGCATATGTTAAGATACTTTCTCACTGGAGACAGGAAGGACAACTGGAATTCCAATGATCATAAAGCACGTACATATTCTGTCAAAATTCCAAGTCAGAAAGGCCCTTGAATTAAATTACAATGAAAGAGTATAATAACTATTATGAGCTTGATTTTAAATATTCATCCTCTCTTTGAATGGAACCGCTGAGTCCTTTCGCTCTTCCTCTGGGATGGACTTTTCTCGACATAATCACCGTCAAAGTGAATGTTAAGTAAGCATTGTGATCTCTGAAAAACAGGTTTTAGAGGATGCTGCCACCATTTTTTCTGGCTATTTTGTTCCCACTAGAGCCAAGCTACAAGCTTCGTTGCAAACCTCCTCATAGCCACAGGAGCTACAGTCCTTTCATTGCCACTTTTCATCTTCAGCAGCGATGCCAGTTTACTTCCGTCACCAGTCTTTAGTTAACTGATATATTTTGTGCCAGAAGTGCAGCATTTGCCATATAGAAAGCTGCCTGAGAGTTGACCTCCAAGGATAAAATAAATGTAATTCACCTGCTGCAATGCTACGGGATGTACTGAATATCTCAAACAGCAGAGAAATGTGCCCAAGGTTACAGTGAGTCAGTCACTGAGACAGCTGGAATTGGAATTTAGGAGCTCCTTGCTCTCTCTCTACTGTAATTATTATTTATTTTACCATAGCAAAGATAAGGTCTCTTCAGGACCTGGCCCTTTTGCACCACATACTGTACAAACAAAGAATGAGAGATATTCTGCTAAAAAGACTAAAGTCCTCTCTAACAAAAGTTTAACATCTGCCAGTAAGAATTATTTTCAGATACAAGGCATAACTTGCCAACATTCAAGACGAAAATAAATCATTTTGCAATTACTTGTAATTAAATATTGCTTTATTAAAATGACTGGAAAATATTCTTGCCTTCCACTTCAGATATTTATTTTACAATTTTTAATTATACTTACCACTGAGGTTCTCCAACAGGAAATTTAATAGATCCATGAAACCTGAGAGCTCTATAAGACTGAAGTTCATTTCTTTAGCCCACCAAAATCCTGCAGTGTAATAATCTAGCAAAATAGCTTCTTTCAAAGATGTCTTTAATTGTTTTAAATTCAGAAATTCTTCCAGCTTTCTAGAAGAAATTGCAGAGTAAAATAATGAAATTAAAAAATACATTACAGATTCCAAAGTTTAACTTAGTCTACTTGTAATTATATCTACAATATTTACTATCATTATATTATACATATATGTATATATCTTCCTGGAACTTAGCTACATCAATTTCTAAATATGAATGTTTATGATTGGAGGACATATCAACTGAAAAAAGTAAACAAACACCTACAGGTTTCAACAGACACTATTTAAATGTTAAGGTATGATTAATGAAATAACAAAAATAAGAGCATTACAAAAAACAAAGAGAAATACACTGAAAATCCCAGAGAAAATCAGTGTTTGTTCAGGAAGGGGTTTGTAGGATGAAATGGAACAATTAGTCTCCACTTTCTACTACCACTCTTTCAGTCTGATTGAGCTGGTTTTACAGTACTAAAAAGATCTTGCTTCCCTTTCAAGATTATTTGTCATGTAGCCTCTGAAGAAAAATTACATTTGAAAATTAATGTAAATAGTGTAATATAAAATTACTGAAAGTACCTAAAATATTTAGAAGTTTAAATTCCACTTTCATAATGGTCAAGACATTTAAGAAGAGCCTCATCCTATTTTACTGGCACGCTGTGGAAATTTTTCCACTTACTTTAACTTGAAAAAGTAATGAAAAAATACACTCCCTTGTAGGAGACCATGCTGTTGCTGACACATTTATGTCTACTCTATCCAAACATAGAATTAGTTATGTCTTTTATAATAATTGTGCACATTTTTCCACATGAAGAGAGGGGATGAGGGCTAGGACTTCAGTTTGCAGTTCTTCCAGTGTAACTTCAGCCATGCCTCAGATAGTTAAGTTTTACATTAAAGCAATCCTTGGCTTCTTAACTACACCTGACGATACAGGTGCCAGTTACAGTTTCTAGTCCCCTGTAAAAGACCAAAGCCTTCCCCCCGCTGCTTCTCATTCTTCCTAAGAAGGGCATTAATCTCAGACGTACTGATAGGCAACCATTAGTTTTTCAGGGTTTTCACTAAGCCAGTAGAGATACACTGTCAAATAAGATGAGTTTCTTTTTTTAATTAAAGCCTCAATAGCTAACAAAGTAAAGCATATAATCCAATCAGTTTTGTTTAAAACATGTATTCCTTTGTTCTGCATGACAAATTTGTATGGCTGTACACATGCAAGTCAGTTAAAAACACTTAACTGTGTACTGAAATAGAAGTGGAACGTGGCCAGCTGAACTTTCCAAGGTTTGAAACAGTCCATATCCTCTCTTTCTGAAGCTTCTGCCAACTCTGTGTTTTCATAATCAGAGCTTCTCAGGGATTTAGATTTTCTCTGATGCTGCTAACAATGCCAGTACTCACCTTTTCAATATTCTGTAAGGCATGTCACTGACAAGATTATCTATAAATGATTGGGAAATGATGGGGCATTTAGATTTCCTAGTTACCCTGATTCCTATTTCTTGCTTCACGGAAGGTGCTCAAGTCCTACAGAGACGGACAGCAGTAGAAAACTCTATGTAAGATGGGAACGCAGAACATGAAAATTCTTATACTGAATCAGATCTATTCTGATTTTCTAACCCAAGCTGTGGCCTTCATACTGCTCTTGTGTATAGACATGATGCACTGTGGTAAACTAAGAAAATTTCAATGCTGCTGCTAAACTGCTTAGAGTACATAAAATACCCTGTAACTATCCTCTTTTCAGTCAGATGCAGTATATACTTTACGTTCCACTTGTACAGTGTGTATATATATATATAAATACTTATGTGATCAGCTGAGGCTAAGAAGAAACGTATGATCTTTCAATGCTTTTCTTTTTAATCTTAATGAGAAAGCTTCACAATAAATTGCGTCATTAAGCACATTTTAGTCTCCAGTGAGTTTTATGCTTCAGCCTCCTCTAAAATAAGAAGCCTATTGTACAAGAGAAAACAGTAAATGAAAGAAATTTTTTTTATTATTATTTGATGGGAACAAATTTTCATTCCAGTTTTCTTAAAAAAAATCCCAGAAAGAACTTATTTTTTCCTCAGAACAGTGACAAATAGGAGGAACAGAATATATTTCAGGAATAATATTTTAATCTCTATTAAATGGTTTATCTGTTCAGAGGGACAAGGTTGGATTTTTTATTCCCCCCCCCCAAACTAGTGCAGTGGACTAGCCCTTTGGCTTTCAATTCAGTAAGAATTTGCTAGGGGACACAAGTGCTCCTAAATAATTCAGGCATTTCTGAAAAATCCCATCCTTAAAATATAAGTCTAGAGTCTCAGGTTGAACTCCTGGCCTCCTAAATTTAGCTGCTATTAAGCACTAATAACAAGGGATAGTGTTGCTACAGGAAAGACAAGATGGGCTTACATCAGAAGTCTTTGGCTGCCTCCTATTTCCCCAGTGCACCGTAATGGCTACCTACTAATACCTTCTTAAGCTTTCCATCCCTTTCTGAGCTTTTAAAACCTTTCTGATTTTTCAGTAACTCATGTTACAGTACAGAATCTTAAATGTTTTAGCAAAAAAGTTACCAAGTGAGACTTATGAAAAAAGCTCAGCATTGGCCTGTTCTTATTTACATCTTAGTATTTCATTTACAGCATATTTAATACTACTGTAAACTCAGAAACCATATCAATGTGAAATATCAGTGGGAAAAAAAAGGAGTCAAAGAAAAATCAAGAGATATAGGAAATACAGTAAAACAAAGCAGATCTGAGATCAACAGTATTTCTTCCTATTTTTCATGAACCATATTAAATATCAATGATTTAACTGAACAACTAAAGACTAATGACATAACCATCACAAAAGAAATGTAACAAATGTTCTATAATTTTTATTTCATTTTATTATATTGGTTCTAGCATTGTTATCATTGCCACTTACTTTTGAACTCCTTCTACATTTTGTTCTGACAAAGCAGTAATTTGGGAAAGAGAAAGAAACGTCCGATTAATAATCTTCTTTCCACCTATGGCATCCTGATCTCGGTCTTTTTCCTACACACACATATGTATACAGGAATATAATTTTAAAAGGTTTATTTTATTATGTCACTAACTTATCTAAATAACATTTTTATTTTGAGGAACTATGCAAGGGATTAATTCAACAAATGCCAAAAATCTAACACTGCTATAATTACATGGCAGCAACACAATACCCTAACACATTTTCACTAGAGAAAAGCTAGGCAGATACATGGAAAATAATATTTTTATCTTAAATTCACGTGGGAACATAGTGACATATTATGTGCAGCACAAGATTAAATTAACTTGCAAGTAAAAACAATAGAAATATAAAGGTGCAAAAAAATCCATGGATGTAGATTTGACCAACATGATATTAGATTGCACAGTAATTAAATTTTAAAATCAGTTTCTGCTTAAGATATTATGAGTACATGTACACATTACCATGCTATTTGCTCTCCACCCTGTACTTGATTGCATTTTCAAATTTACTTTCTACATTGACTCCTTCCCTAACCAAAAAAAAGTCCAAGATGTTTGCTGCAACACAATGATACACGTACAAGGATCTGACACTAGTGTTTCAGGGAAGGTCTGTATATTTGTAATACAGAAGGCAGGTCCTTATAGGAAAAACAAGGATGGACATGTTATAGGGGATAACAAGCTGAGCATGAACCAACAATGTAATGATCTTACAAAAAAATAGGAACATTTGATGATATTTTATTTAGTGTGTGTCACTGACCAAAAACATTTGACCAGAGACTTCAGTAAGAAATCTATGAAATAAATAAAACAGTGGGAAAAAAACCTGTGTTACAATAGAGTATGTAGGTGACAAAGTGAGGTGCCAAAGCACATTATAAAATGTGAGATGAGCCAGACTCTTTACGAAGGTGCATGGCAGGGGAACAAGGGGCAATGGTCATAGAATAGAATAGAATAGAATAGAATAGAATAGAATAGAATAGAATAGAATAGAATAGAACAGAACATTTCAGTTGGAAGGGACCTACGATACATTATCATGGGACAGCATAAGGAAAAATATTTCACTATGAAGATAATAAAGCATTAGAATAGGTTACCCAGAAAGGTGCAAGAATCTCTATCCTTGCAGGTTTTCAAGACTGAACTGGACAAAGCCCTGGTCCACATTCAGTGCTGGCCCAGCTCTGAGCAGGCAGCTGAACCAGCTCATGTCCCAGCGATCCCTTTCCAGCCTCATGACTGTGAGTCTAATTGTCCTGACCTGCTTCTGCACCAGGACACAAAAAAGTCTGAGTAAAACCTGATCATAATTTACTCGTAGCAGGTGCACTTCTACATCTGTGGGACTTGGGCTTTACAGAAGCGCAGCAAGGCAAAGCTTGCAGAATAATGTTTCTAGCTCACTTAGAGAAGTGGAAGATTTCCTAACATGAGCTGATTTTTGAGCCTGAACAGCATTGTTCTGGGCTAATAATCAACTAACTCTAGCACTGGTCAAGGAGAGCCCCTAAATAAAGCTACACTACTCCCCCTGCTGCTGCCAAACTGCAAGATATACTTAAAACTCTGAGACCAGCTGAATTACAACATTCAAGACTGATGAAACAAGACTGTGAGCAACAAAGAACATTTAGTGGACAGACTAGTTTTTTCCTGTAATTAAGTACTAGAGTACTTTCACATGTACTTTAATATGAAAAATTATTGTTCCCAACTGTGAAGGAGTTAGTCTCAGATCCAATGTCTCATCAGAACAACAGGAATGAAGTAAACGAAGGCTTCCTTCACATAGTTAGGAGCATGACATTAGTTTGCTTTTGTTTTTATTAGCAATAATTCATGCGATATAAAAAGAAGTACTCCTACAGTCAGAAATTTGATATAATTGAAGCT